ACACTCTACGGTTATGTCAGGCATATGCTCTCCCAACAGCAACCACTTCCAGGAACCACTTTAGGCATATACTCCTCGGACACCTCGAACACCTAGGAGTAAGATGGAGTTGCTTCCACTTGTAAATGACAAATTACAAGATAAGATATAGAAAAATATACTTGCTATACTTAATTTTTTTACATTAATTTAATATTACCTTTTCTTATTTTTTATTTTTACTTTTTTTTTTCAAAAAGCTACGTAAATTCACTTTTTTTTAAGATAATTTTATTTTTGTTAGATATGTCAAATTAATGTTAATATATGTCATGATATTCTTACTTTAAGGTATAATTATTTTGGTTGAGGCGGAAAGGTATACTCATAAGTGATGGTTATAATATTCAAGTGACTTCAGTTATTTATTCTTAGACTAGAACCATAATTAAGAAGGTAAAACTAAAATAACATTGAAACTATTACAAAGATATAAGAAGGTATAAACCTCTCTTACATTATCAACGATGAAAAAACAAATCACAGTTTATAGAACTTTTTCTATTTTGAGGATAAACCAACTTCTTCATTCAACTCCACCAACTATTTATTTTAACAAATTCCTTAACCCTCCCATCTTTTCCATCCATTTCATTCTACCCTTATCATCACTCTTTCTAAACATGTTAACTTCTGACTGAAGGCCCAATGAACTGAAGAATGGGTGATCCATAAGTTAGTTCTTTTTGAAGCCATTTCTGGCTTTTGATGGCTCCATTTCAATGTAATTTTTGTAACCAGTTTTATATTTTTCCGCTTGAGATATGATGTGATTGTAGTATACCTTTGATGATAATTAATAGTTGGTTGAAATTACTTTGATTCGTTAAAATGCAAATTATTTTGGTTTAATTATATTTTTGATAATTTATTTTTGATGGGAAGAATTTGATCCTTGCAATTTTGATTAATTTATGATTTAATTATATTTTTAGTTTCTAAAATGTGAAATAAATTTTTTAAGTACTTCAAATTAAAAGAGAGTTTATTTTATATTTTCAAATTGAATGTTTAAAAATTAGAATAATTTTCTTTTAATACTGAGAGGCTAACTTAAACATTTTTGGATTTGAGAGATCAAAATTGGAATTATTCTAAATTTCAGGACTAAAGTTACAATAAACCTTAATTTATTAACTCGACCTTTCAATATCTATCAGAATTGTTGTTGAGCGCAGTCCAGTAACAAATAATTTTGAATATGATTCTGTGTCATGACTAAATATTCAAATGTCAAATTAATGAAAAGCCTACAATCACACCACGAAATTAATGAAGCTAAACAAAATAAAAAATAGAGGAACAAATTTGCCAAATGAAGTCAATAAGGGGAGTAAAACTGAATTATGTCAACTATTTATTGTGTTAGAATATAACTGTAATTTGATACTTTTTAATTCAAATAGTTAAAAATATTTTTTAATTCCTTACTCAATATTCTTTTATAATATAGATAGATCCTTGATAAAATTTTATTAGTGGTTAACATAATTTTGATTATTTTTGCAAGTTCTAATGAATTGAATGAGAAGAGAGGAAGGGTAGAAATGAAAGAAAAAAAAAAGATTTAATACATCATTTGGTCCCTATTTTTAGGAGTTTCGTTCAAATTGATCCTACTTTTGAAAAGGTTCAGTAAGGTCCCATATTTCATTTAAAAATGTTCAATACGATCCTTTTCGCTTACTCCGTTAAAAACATAACGGAGATGTCACCGTGGCAAAACCTGAATGACCTGTTTTGTTTAATGATTACGTGGCAATGTGAAGTGAAGTGAGCTGGTGGAAATATTTAAAAAATAAATAAAATGACATAAGGTAGGTGGTAGGTTTAAGTCTGGGTCAAAGAAAATTACCCTTATCTAAGACTGATTTTCCCATTTCTGGGTTCAACATTGTGCTTCAAGTGGTGTTGTAATGACGGTTGGCTGCTGATTCCTTGAAGGTGAAATTGGAACAGCGTACGCACGTGAGGTAAGTGGTCCTAATCTAAGCCTAATTACTTGATGTTGTTGTTATTGTATTTGGGGGTTAGGGTTTAATTATATTTTTTTCGATTGACGATGATTTTGGGGGTATAAATTTGTTGGTTAAATTAATAGCCGCCGGTGAGGTCGATGTTATAGGTCTAGCCGTCGCCGAGACCGAATTAGCGCGTCACTGCATTCTCTAGTCCTGCTGCAGGAATCCAGAGCGTTGGCCCTCGAAGAAGAGGATTGCCTTGGACAATGCATGCTGGTAATTGTGAGCAGTGACAGAGAGAAGAAGGAGAAGAAGAAACGCAAAAAGGTTGGGAGGTGCCATTGTAGGTTGCCGTGGTTGGTTAACGGTGAGAAGTGGGTGTTATTTATATGTAGAGGTGGTAGAGAGGGAGTCACGGGGTGAAAACTTGAAAGCAAAGTTTGGAGAAAGGAACATAGTAAGAGAGAAAAAGAGCGATTTGGAGGGAAGAGGAAGAGTATGTGTGCGATGAAAGCGCCGACAGTGAAAGTAGAGAGTGTTAGTGAGTTCACATGCAAACAGAAACCCCTTTTATTAGAGACAATAACTTCAACTTTAAACATTTCAACCAACTCACTTCACTTCACAGTGCCACCTAATCATCAAACAAAACAACTCACTCAAGTTTGGCCACGGTGGCATCTGCACCATTATGTTTTTAACGGCGTCAACGCAAAGGACCTTAATGAACATTTTTAAACGAAATATGGAGTCTTACTGAACTTTTTCAAAAGGTATGATCAATTTGAACCAAACTCCCAGAAATAAGAACCAAATAATGTATTAAACCAAAACAAAACTAACAATACTACTGTTTCATTATAATATAGAGTTACTTGGTTAAACACTAATAATGCGTTTATGTGTTTGATACATACGGTTCACAGAACATAAAATAAGAAAAAAAAAACACATATACTAGCATTGAATTATGTTGGTATAAAGGTAACAATGAATATTAAATTTCAACATCACTAACCACTTAATCGCAGTATCTTTCATTAATTAAACCCCAACAACTTCATTGGCAATAGGTTGGGTATTTTAAATAAAGGTCATAACTTGTAATAAATAAAATGTTGGTTATTTTTCTTCAACATTCAATTATAGAATTCCAAACTGCTTATAAATAATGTAAATTCTTTTACAAAACAAGCCTGTTATACTCTAAAAAAAAAGTACTAAGTTGTTCTTCTGAAGGAAATTTGGTACTGATATGCTAATACTATTTCTACACGTTTCGTGTTACACTTACAAAAATTTAGAAGAAAAAAGGTGCTGAAATTTAATGCTAATGTAAATGATTTTTTCTACCTCCTGCCATGGTCCTTCTTCCTCTATAGGTCGTGGCGTTGGTCCGTGACAGATACGATTTCACCCAAATGTTATATCTTCAACCATATTCTGAATCATTCATTTAAATATTAATGTTTTTCAATGTAAATATTATCCAAATAATAACACTAAGATTTTATCTTTCATGTCCAAATTCAGTTCTTCAATTCTTAAGGACTAAAATTCTAAACTTTATTATCTTTTGAAAAACTTTTTTTTTTACTGATGACCTATTATTCGGTCTTATTAATTATGTACTCTAATAAATAAGACGATAACAACTTTAAATAAGGCCATAACACATCTTAAGTGTTGATTATTGAAATCAAGTATCAATTACAGGAACTAAATGTCGACTATCAAAAATTAAGTGACTATTAGAATCCAGTGCTATTTACCAAGTGCTAGGTGTTGTCTATAGAGAATTAACTGTCTATTACCGAGCCTGAGTTGCCACTTGCCAATGGTTGAGTGCTACCTACCTACTAAGGGTCATGTGTTGTATTTCAAAGGTCATGTACTACTTGTTGTGTTGCCCGTTGAGTGTCATGTGTGGCTTACTAAGGATTATGTGTTACCAACCAAGACTGAGTGTTGTTTTTTATAGCTAGGTGTCGCCTCCCAAGGAGTGTGTGTCTCCTACTAGTACCATGTGCAGCCTACTGAAGCTAATAGTGATCTATTTGAGCATAAACAAGCCTGTTTGACTAGTTCTACTTGGCCACAAGCTGGCCTGTCTGACTGATTCTACCTAACCACAAACTGGCCTTATAAGTACAATGTCTGACTACTTCTACCTGGCCACAAGCCGACATGTTTGATTGGTTCTACTCGATCATAAGCCGACTTTGTAAGTACAATGTCTAACTGCTTCTACCAGCCACAAGCTAGCATATATGACCACCACTATCTGACAATAAGTTAGTCTATCCAACTACCTTTCAAACTAACAAAACTAATGACGTATTACTTTGTAACTTAGCATAATCTAAATTAAACAACTAGTTCATGAGGTAAATGAGGTCTACTTAGACCTGTATAAGTGAAAGCTCACAAACGTGGTAACTATTCTATAAATAATACAACCATCAAAGTAAATAATTAATGTTCATTATTACAACATTATCTGCTATATGATGTATGCAACTAATGTCCGAAGTAAAAAACATTCATTATTACAACATTATCTACTATTTGACGCATTCGTCTAATGTGGACATCAAAATATTACAACATTATCTACTATCTCACGCATGCGACTAATGTGAACATCAAAATGCTTTCTCGAAGCACACTTCTTCTTGATCTTAAAGAGAGAGACGTAGACTTAGAATATTTTTGTTTTAAGAGTAAAGTCTTTTTGATAGAAAGAATTTAAAAAATATGTGTACTAGGCCGGGTAAGAACACTTTTAAATGAAAAATAATCGAAAGTCCAATTAAGGAGATTTTCAGTCGCTTTTCTCCTCATAACAATTCAGAATTCGATTCGATAATCGAAACTGAATTCTGAGTTTTAAAAAGTAAAACTTTTAAGGTGACTTTTTCAGGTTCATGTATGCTATTTAAGCGAAAAAGTCTTTTGACAGTAAAGAATCAGCTAGACTAAAAGAGCTGGAAGAAGTTATTGGTCACAATCATGTTGAATTAATCATATAGTATATGTAAATGGATGCACCGAGTCATTTCACTAGCACAATGACAATGATGTTAGAACTAGAATATAAGGCACATATTATTGTGTTAATTTTCAGCATTTGAAGGTTTTTGTGAGATCCTAACTATAGCTACTACTAGCAACTAAAGTGAAGAATCTCAGGATCTAAGCCAGTAGCCAGAAGTTCTTCTGCCACCTCGTGCTAATAAGGTAGCCATTGTTGCCTTGACTTCTCTTCCTCACTCCAATTGCCAAGCACTCTGCATTGTTGATGCAATACTCAGCAAACTCCTCTGAGCTGCTTATACTGTTGTTTCCACACAAGCTGCAACAATTACTCAGTTAAACTTCAAATACTGAATAGTAATCTAGATAAATTTAATTTCTACACAGTCCAACAACATTTTATTACTTCAACACATCATATTCATTAACAGGACATTATAATAATATTTCTTATTCACAATGTAAATTACTAAATTAGTTATCTGTAAAGGGTATGATAATAATACTCTATTCTCAGCAAGTAAATTACTAAATTAGTTATCTGTAAAACTGCATGACGATAATATTTTATTCTCAGTATGTAAATAACTAAGTTATTTTATGCCAAATTGACAATGCCTGGTAAAATTGTTAATTGTTTTAATAATTATAACTCTAAATTTTATACATAAAGCTCACTTTTCATACATTTTTGGCTGCTCTGTTAGTCGGTGGATTTTGGAAGGTATAGAGCAATGATACAGAGGAATGGCAACTAAAATTGTGATTAGTTACACGTAAATAAATACTATATAAAATAGATCACAAAGTTATCAAAATCGTACTCATCGATTTCTCAATTATTAGTTTATCACTCTGTAGTTTATTGCATAAAGTGCAAAGAGCCAAATTAAAAGAATAAAAAAGGGTTTGGAAGTTTGAGAATTGAGATTGAAGGTTGGAAAATTGCATTGAAGGACATTCCTACCAGCTAAGAAGAGGAGATGGTTTCTTTTGGCCCAATACCAAGATTGAAACCTCCAGCTTCTTCACTTGACTCATCACTGTGGCCAGTTTTGGTCCTTGGATCACAAGTGCTTCCACTTCCACCTATGTCAGATCAACATAGTGCAAATAAATAAATTTTTCACTTTTTGAGGGGGAATGTGCAATGAAAAGCTGAAGAAACATGGGAGCTTTCTCATCATTTCCTTCTGGAAAGTGAAAATAAAGAACTGGAATATTACAGGAATCTCAGACCCTTTGTCCTCTAAAGAAGAGAAAAAGTTCAAACACGTTATGGGCATAAGAAATATGCATGATTTTGTTTTGAATAATGAAAAGGGTAAAAGGATAGAACATCATAGCTCCCTCTTTCTGAACAGCACTGAAGATTCAAGACCAACTTCACTAAAAAAAAATTCAAGATCTACCAAACACAATGAATTTAAGAAAATGAAAAATGGACAGAATGGACACAGTGACATAGCCTATGCTTCATGACTTCAAACATATAAGAAATGAAGTTAAAGCTTCAAGAATAACGTATTGAGGACTACATATGATTCAGGAATTTACCTCTGGCTTGCAATCTTTGCAAAGGGAACCAAGATGATTGACTAGAAAGGTAGAGCAGGAAGATTCAGAGGCCTTATGAGGAGGTACAACAAGAAGCAAAGTGAGCAAATCACCCTTATTAGCTACATGAGTGAGTGCCCACATCATTGCATGTTTGGAATGTGAAGTGTGATCCACCACCACCATCACTCTCTTTTTCCCTACCATCCCACTGTCCTCATTCCCATACATGGAAAAACCTTCCATTTGGCTCAAACTAGTCTCACACCCCTTCTCCATCCCACCCCACCTACTTGATGTTGATTTCCAAGCCTCCTTCACACTCAATTGCTTCAATAATGACCCTGTTGAACCTTGCATCGTGTCCTTCAATGTAAAATGTACCAATATTGTTGGTGAGAAGTGATGGAGCAGAGGAAGAGAGTGTGATAGAGTGTAGCAGAGGTTTTGTTTGGCAGAAGAGACATACATAAAAAGGGGTAGAGATGGGTTAGGAAGGGGTTGTTAACTTTTGTGCAGAGGGAAGTGTCACGGGAATCACTAGCTAGTTATGGCTTTACTCTACCATGATGTTGTAGTCTCATTGATGATGAAAGATAGGACTTCTGAACCATCACTCCTCACCTATTCTCTAATCAGATTCTTTTGTACTTTACCACCATTAGTTTAACATCTTCTGTCATAATAAATTGACTCATCAGGATTTCTCTTACAATCATAATATAAAACTGATTACCCACAAACTATGGGTTACCTCATGCCACATGAGGCACATGATGCGAAGTGGTCCATCTTTCAACATGTTAAAATAAAAAAATCGACTGCACTAATCTGTGTATTGGGAGATTCCAAAGAATCTGGTTGTGAGCCATTATGGGCTAACGAATGGGTCTAAGAACAACTATTACTGCACAGTCATTTTGCTTTGTCACCAATGAATGATGAAGTTTGATGCATGACTACCTTATTCAGACTATCAAACACTTTACTCCTTCAGTTTCCATCATTAGTTTCTGGAATTTAACACACAAGTTCACAAGTTTATACTCCCTTATTATTGGATTTTGAAAACTTGTTATGTGATTTTACATAATCATTTAAAAATCTCAGTCCTTTTTGCATTCTTTTTAATTTTGTTATATTATAATAAGAAAGTAAATAAAATTAATAGTAACATTTTCTCGTAAATTTAAATAATCTTAAAAAAAAAATATTTTCGACCTTCTTTCTAACATCCGAAGATCTAGAAAATAATTGTTTGAGTTGTAGTAGATTTAACAAAATGATACTCAATTATTTTATTAATAAAAAGTTTCAATTTAAATAGATTTTTTTTATTGAGGTTATTTTATATAATTTTATTATTTCTCTAAAAATCATTTTCTTAATCTTTCTCTTGTTTCTTTATAAGATTTTTAATTTGTTCTTCATATTTTCTTTGATAAGAGACTATTGTTCGGTTGACAACAGAAAATTCTATCCGATTAGATTCGTGGACAGAGTAAATTCTTTTTTAGCTCTTTTTCTAAAGTAAAATATGTTTTTTTCCTTTTGTATGTAGGTATAATTAGTTGCATGTGATTCCATCATACTAGATTCTTTGTATGTGTGTATTTTTACTTAGTAGTAGTATGTTCAAATAATTGATTTGATGTTCCTATGTGTATAAATAATTATATGTGAGGGTAAGTTGTTAAAGGAGTATTTTGAGAGCTTCAGGAGGGTGAATCAAGATGAGATAAGAGAAACTAAATTTAAATTATAATTGTTTTCAATCAAATGAATTATGACTTGAGTGTGATATGGTAGAATAATATAGATTGTTGTATAGATGGAATTGATATATTGATATATGAATTGATTATGAGTATGTAATATGAACTTGATGTGTAACTGAATTACGTATCATATCCTCATCGTTCATATAGTTCCTAGACTAGTCGTTATATCTTAATGGGTTGTCAGTCAAGTAGAATGGGAACTTAGGGTTACCACTCTTATCATACAAATGAGAGCGACTGGCTGGGTTCATAGTCACCCAAAAGTAGCCGGTTTTAAAATTTTTAAAAGAATGAGAAAAAGGATTTAGAAAGAAAATATTTGCCTTGGCTACTCAAAGAAATCCATGTAACGGAGATGTCGAGGATGGGTACTGTAAAAATGAAGGAAGCACTTAGGTGTTTGACTTACATTTAAGGCCTTTCAAACTAGTTCAAAGGCTTGAAGGCATCCCTAGTTCTTTGGATGAAGTTCGGTATGGGCGACATTCAAAAGACATAGTACACCCATGATGAACTCATTAAAGGGAAGACGAACATCAAGTTGAATAAAGAAGGCCAAATACATATCAAAAAACTCTTATTCGTAACCCTCTCAGCCATGACAGTCGTTATCTATGACGCATATTCTCTAGAAAGATATTGTGTCCTCTACTTCTGATCCTTTATATATATGTGTGTGTGTGTGCGTGTGTGTATTGTGTCCTCTACTTCTGCTCCTTTATGTGTGTATCGTGTCCTCTACTTTTGCTCTTTTGTGTGTGTGTCTGTGTGTGTGTTTGTGCGTGTGAGTGTGTATGTGTGTGTTTGTGTGTCTGTGTGTGTGTGTCTGTGTGTGTCTATGTGTGTGTGTATGTGTGTGTGTGTTTGTGTGTGTGTGTGTTGTATGTGCGTGTGTGTTTGTGTGTGTCTGTGTCTGTGTTTGTGTGTGTTTCTATGTGTATGTGTGTATGTGTGTTTGTCTGTATGTGTGTCTGTGTGTTTGTCTGTGTGTGTGTGTGTGTGTGTGTGTGTCTGTATCTGTGTGTGTGTCTGCGTGTGTCTGTGCGTGTGTGTGTTAGTGCGTGCGGGTGTGTGTATGCGTGTGTTTGTGTGTGTCTGTGTGTGTGTATGTGTCTATGCGTGTGTATGTGTGTGTCTATGTCTGTGTGTGTGTATGTGTGTGTGTCTGTGTTTGTGTCTGTGTGTGTGTCTGTGTGTGTTTGTGTGTCTGTGCATGTGTCTGTGTATGTGAGTGTGGTTGTGTGTGTGTGTCTGTGTCTGTGCGTGTGTATGTGTGTGTGTTTGTGTGTGTTTGTGTTTGTGTCTCTGTGTGTGTCTGTGTGTTTGTGTGTGTGTGTGTGTCTGTGTATGTGAGTGTGACTGTGTGTGCGTGTGTGTCTATGTGTCTGTGTGCGTGTGCGAGTGTGTGTGTGTGTGCACGTGTGTGTGTGGGTGTGGGTGTGTGTGTGTGCAAGTGCGTGTGTGTGTGTGAGTGTGTGTGTGTGCGCGCGCGCGTGTGCATGTGTTTGTGTGTGTGTGTGTGCGCACACACGCGTGTGTGTGTACTGTTTTCCCACTACATAAGAGTGGAAGACCACTTAAACTTAGAAAATTACTCCTTGACTTTAGGATCTCCCAATTTGTAACCCTTTCTTCTAGGCAAGTTAGATTATGTTATCTTGTCCTCAGGATTCTCATGAGTTTCTATGATCACTTCTCTGCCTCGTGAAGATGAGACATTAGATGACGACATAGGTCTAGAGACGTCACTACCCAATCCTTTACCAAAAGAAGACACATTAGAACTACTAGATGACATACCTGGTGTTATTAAACATTATAAAATACTGTAATTCTTGAGAGGTTATCGGTAATAGAGGGAAGAATGCTAGAATAAGGTACTCAAATGATACAAATATGCCTCATATATATAGTCAAGTCTTCACAACTCTTCATCTTTCACCTCTTCAATCTCAACCATTAGATCTCCTTAGATCTAACAATTAGGGTTCATGACTGTTGGACTCCCTGATGTCACATCGATCTTTGCAAGTCTGACACCTATTAATCAATCATTTTTGTCAGTACACTTATCGAGGTTAAGGGGCTACTATACCTATAAGGTGAGCCAACCAAGGAAATACAAATTTTCTTTTCACATACCAACCAAACCAAGAGTGACATCATGATGGCAACATAGAGACTTGAACATATGTCATGTTAAGTGTGTGAGACTAGTGTACTATACATGTTCGACTAACCTCGATAACCTGGACTGAGATATAGGCCGAGATGTACTCGGCCTAAATATACCCAACCAAAGTGACACTATATTAATCACATCTTTAACATTGACAAAATGAGATTAAGTTAAGGTAAAGGCTAAAACATATTAGTAGAGTATTAGACAAAGTTAATTAAGGTAATTAACCACGTGGATTAGATGCATTGAGGTAAAAAGCCTTAAACATTGTATAAATAATACAATATTCAAGGTAAATTAATTACATTCTATTATTATTGTCATTAATACTACTTGATGCATTTAACTGACTTAAGAGTCAAAATGTCTCAACTTTAAAGAAATGAATATCTTGAACATCCCAACTTAAAGTGCAAAGTTATAACTTTATGTGCGAGTAAAAAGTTGAAGATATCTTTGCAAGGTATTTTCAAAAACAATTATTAAGCTTTTCAATTAAATAATAACGTATTGATATTTTTTTACATAAAATTATCAATTATCTCTAATTAAATTATATGATAAAACATACAAAACAATATTTTTCCAATTTAATTTAAAAGGTTAATAAGGAGAATATAAAAATCTTGACATATGTCTAGGGCAACTAATTTTACCAAAAATTTGTAAGAAAATAGAGTGGGTGGAGGGATGAAGGACCTATAATCAACTAACACTCAGCCGAGTAAAACTATTTATAATATAGATAATTGTTAAATTTAATCAGAAGATCTCAGATTTGAGGATTATAAATAACAGTCTAATATCAAAAAATGGAATAACATTATTGGATGAGATTTTATAAAGATAATTAATTAGGTTTCTGAGAGAGGGCCTATCCTCGGTATTAATATGCTTGAAAAAATTAAATTTCCTTAAAAATATGTATCTAAATTCAACTTTATCTTGGCTGCAGCAAAGGGTAGCTTCTATGGAAAAATTAATTACCGTATTAAAATTTTCAAAAAGAAAATTTACAACCCACAAATTAATAAAGTGATTATGAAATAGTAGTTTAAATTTATGTAAATAATAAGTTGAATATAATTAGTAAGAACCTTTTAATGTTATTAAATAATTAAATTAATTAAAAAATATTTTATTTTTAAAATTATTATATATGTTTTTTTTAAATAAGTAACATTAATACAAATATATCATTAATCTTAAACAGAACATTTTATTATATAATTTGTGTAAGAAATTACCATGTTTATTAAAAATTGATTGTATAACGTTATTTTCTTTAATAAATATGATTATTATTATTATTAAGGATGAAAAATATATTTAATCATTTTAATTATTAATAAAACAAAAATAAAAATTAATTCAAATTAATTTTTTTATAAATAAAACTGGAAGTGAAATATATTAAATAAGTTTATTAATTTTTTTATAAATTTTGTTAATAATTACAATTAAATATGTAATTAAGTTTTAATAATTATGATATGTATTGTTTATTAAAAACTATTATATATTAATATTATTTTCTATAATAAATATAATTATTATTAAAATGAAATATATGTTCAATTATTTTTATTATTAACAAAATTAAAATTAAAAGATTTATATTAAAATTATTTTTTATTATTGTACTAAAAAAGTGAAATATGTGAAAAAGATTCATGTCCCTGTAAAC